AAAATGCCTTTAATTTTTTTTTCTTTAAAAAATATCTTTATTTTATCATTGAATAATAAAATTTATACGAAGGTTAAATTACAAATTTATCCTTAAACTATTTTAGATTTACAAAAAAATCTATAATTAAAATTTTATAAAGTTCAGGAGTTAAAATAAAATTTTACCATTTCATTAAACCTTTTTATATTTTCAATTTTGTAAAAAAAATTATATAAATTTTATGAATTTAAATTTTTTAAAGAAAATATATAAATATTTTCTAACTTATTAAAAAATAAATATATAATAAGGACAATTTGGTTAAATATTTATTCCAATAATATTTTATTCCTTTAACTAAACTGTTAAAAATCAAACTTGAAAAGTCAAGAAAGATGGCTAGAAGTGCAACAATATGACGGCAAGATGACAAAAGCTAGAAGCCTCTTGAATTTCTTAATTATTAAGCATATTAAGGTGGTCCCTTAAAAGGATAAGGTTGCAACAAATATGGTGGCAATAATGGAAAAATTGAGAAGCACCCAGAGCTTCAAAATAAGTCGGTTAATTGATCCTATATATATGTGCTCTAGCCTAGTTTAGGATGTATGTAATACAAGTGAGGAAAATATACGAGAGAAAGTGAGAAAAAATGAGAGATAGGTTGTAAAGCTTAGCAAAGCTTTAAAAGAGTGAGGTTGTGTTTGTAAACTAGTAGCAGCTAGTATTGCAGTATTGTAATATTGAGAGTGTCGTTGTAAAATATTTTGTTTCGTATAAATAAAAATTTCTGAGTTTTATAAATTATAGTGAGCCCATCTACGCTTCCAACAAGTGGCCTCAGAGCTTGGTTTGAGTTCAACGTGGTGGAGAAGATGGCCAACATGATTCAACCTCAAATCCCGAGATTGACAAAGACAAATTATGGCAATTGGAGCATTCAAATGAAGGCGTTACTAGGGTCCCAAGATTGTTGGGATATCATCGAGGATGGTTACACCGAGCCTGAAAATGTAGCAGCAGAAGCAGCCTTGGCCAATGAAGAAAAGAAGGTATTGAAGGAATCCCGGAGAAAAGATAAAAAAGCATTGTTCTTTATTTTTCAAGGAGTAGACGAATCTACCTTTGAAAAAATTTCTGATGCAAAGACCGCAAAACAAGCATGGGAGATTTTACAAAAATCTCTACAAGGTGTCGAAAAAGCAAAGAAGGTACGCTTACAAACTCTCCGTGCTGAGTTTGAGATGCTAAAAATGAAAAATACAGAAAACATCGATGATTATATTAGCCGTGTGAAAACGGTCGTAAATGAAATGAAAAGAAATGGTGAATCACTCGATGATGTTAGAGTGATGGAAAAAATTTTGCGGTCATTAACAAGAAAATTCGATTACGTGGTGGTGGCAATCGAAGAATCAAAAGATTTATCTCAGATATCGATTGATGAGCTTGTGGGTTCACTTCAAGCCCATGAGCAGAAAATAAAACAAAATGAAGATTCTGAAAATTTGGAGCAAGCTCTACAAAGCAAGATGAATGTCAACGAAGGAAAAGCTAGCAGCAGCTACACACAAGGACGAGGAAATCGTGGTGGTTATCGTGGAAGATATAGAGGAGGACGAGGAACTCGTGGACGTGGTGGTCGATCATATAGCACCGATCAAATGAGTGAAAGCAATCCAACATCAGGTCGTGGACGAGGATTCAGAGGCCGAGGTAGGGGCAGATATCAACAAGGAAGCAAATTCCAGGTACAATGTTATAATTGCAATAAGTATGGTCATTATAGTTATGAGTGTAGATCTGCTCCTAAACAAGAAGAAAGAAATAACGTAGCAACAGCTGAAGAAGAAAAAATTGAAAAATCTCACGTATTCCTCACTTATAAAGGAAATGAAGAATTCAAGAAAAATATTTGGTATCTTGATAATTGTGCTAGCAACCATATGTGTGGTCAAAGGGAATTGTTTGTGAAATTAGATGAAACAGTTCATGGACGAGTAACGTTCGGAGATGACTCGCACGCAGAAATAAAAGGAAAAGGCAAAGTCATGATTACTCAGAAAAATGGAGAAAAGAAATATATTTCAGATGTTTATTATGTACCTGCTTTGAAAAGCAATATCATCAGTCTTGGTCAACTCCTGGAAAAAGGATATGAAGTGCAGATGAAAAACCGCTCGCTTGCCATCAAAAATTAAGAAGGAGAATTGATAGCCCAAGCTGATATGACTCGAAATCGTCTCTTTACAATTGATATCGAGTCAGGAGAAGTAATGTGCATAAAGACCGCGATCAAAGATGATTCATGGCTATGGCATCTAAGATATGGACATCTTGGATTTTCTGGATTGAAGCTGTTGTCAAAAACAAGCATGGTGAAAGGACTACCAGAGATCAACCCTCCAAATCAATTATGTGAGGCTTGCATCAAAGGGAAGCAACATAGACAAAGCTTTGAAGTTGGTAGATCCTGGCGTGCCCGAAGACCACTGGAGATAGTACACACAGATATAGCCGGTCCTTTTGACATACCATCGCTTGGCGGTAACAGGTACTACCTAACTTTCATTGATGATTTTAGTAGAAAATGTTGGATTTATATCTTGAAAGAAAAGTCAGAAGCGCTGGAAAAATTGAGAGAATTCAAAGCAATGTCGGAAAAACAAAGCGGTCAATATTTGAAGATACTCAGATCAGATAGAGGAGGCGAATATACATCAAAGTTATTTGAAGAATTCTGCAAAGAGCATGGTATCATCCATCAGCTGACAGCCAGATACACGCCACAACAAAATGGAGTTGCAGAAAGGAAGAACCGCACAATCCTGGATATGGCGAGAAGCATGATAAAAGGTAAGCAACTACCGAGAAATTTCTGGGCTGAAGCAGTTCGATGTGCAGTTTACCTATTGAACCGATGTCCAACAAAAAGCGTGAAGTATATGACGCCAAACGAAGCATGGAGTGGACAAAAACCAGGAGTTGGACACCTCAAGATTTTTGGATGCATCGCATATGCCCACGTTCCAGAACATACTAGAAAGAAGCTTGATGACAGAGGAGAAAAATGTATTTTCATTGGCTATGATGAAAGAAGCAAAGCTTACAGATTATATAATCTTCTTACAAAGAAGATAATAATTTCAAGAGATGTCGAGTTCGATGAAGCAGACTATTGGAGATGGAGCAAAGAGGAAAAGAAAGTTGAAGGACTATTTTTTGAAGATAAAGATGGTGATCTTATCAATCAAGATGAACAAGATGATGATCAAGATCCTCGACAAAATCTACCATCGTCGTCAAGCAGCAGCAGCGATGCCAGCAACATAATAGAAGATCGTGAAGCACCTCCCACAGAACTTCGAAGATCCACAAGAGAGAGAAGAATGCCAGAAAGGTACAACGATTATGAACTAAATAATGTTTCACTTTTCTGCTTGCTTGTGAACAGTGATCCAATAACATACGAAGAAGCGGTTGAAGATGACAAATGGAGGAATGCAATGGATGAAGAAATTGCATCAATAGAAAGAAATGATACTTGGGAGCTAACAAGACAACCAGAAGGCCATAACCCAATTGGAGTAAAATGGGTTTACAAGACAAAAACCAATAAAGAAGGAAAGGTCGAGAAGCACAAAGCGAGACTAGTTGTCAAAGGCTATAAGCAAAGACAAGGAATTGACTATGATGAAGTATTTGCTCCAGTAGCAAGGATCGAGACCATCAGACTTCTCACAGCAGTCGCAGCACAAAAAGGATGGAAAATTTACCAGATGGATGTGAAGTCAGCATTTCTAAATGGCTACCTAGAAGAAGAAGTTTATATTGAGCAACCACCTGGATACATTAAAAAGGGACATGAAGACAAAGTTTACCGATTGAAGAAAGCTCTATATGGTTTGAAGCAAGCCCCGAGAGCATGGAACACGAGGATTGATGAATATTTCCAGAGAAATGGGTTCATGAAGAGTCCATACGAGCATGCCTTATACACAAAGAAAAATGAAGACGGTGATATCATGATCGTGTGCTTATATGTGGACGACATGATTTTCACAGGAAATAATCCAGGTATGTTCAATGATTTTAAGAAAGCTATGACTAAAGAATTTGAAATGACAGATATTGGAGAAATGTCATATTTTCTTGGAGTTGAAGTGAAGCAAATGCAAGAAGGAATATTTATATCACAAAAGAAGTATGCAGAAGAAATTTTAAGAAAATTCAGAATGGAAGATTGCAAGCCGGTAGCCACTCCAGCAGAACCAGGAGTCAAATTAAGTGTGAATTCAACAAGAGAGCAAGTGAATCCGACGTTGTTCAAAAGCATAGTTGGAAGTCTGAGGTATCTGACTATCACACGACCAGACATAACATACGCTGTGGGATTGGTAAGCAGATTCATGGAGAATCCAAAACAAGATCATTGGATTGCAGCAAAAAGAATCCTCAGATATGTCAAAGGTACAACAGGTCATGGTTTATTCTACACGCATTCAGAAAATTCGAAGCTAGTTGGTTATTCTGATAGTGATTATGGGGGAGACTTAGACGATCGAAAAAGCACAACTGGATATCTCTTTCATATCGGCTCTGCAGCATTTTCATGGTTATCAAAGAAGCAACAAACGGTAGCTCTTTCAACATGTGAAGCAGAATACATAGCCGCAGCAGCGTGCACTTGCCAAGCAATGTGGTTAAGGAATATTTTGAAGGAGCTAAATTTGGCGCAAGAAGAACCGATTAAAATCTATGTCGACAACAAGTCTACAATTTCCCTTGCCAAGAATCCAGTCTCTCATAGCCGAAGCAAGCATATTGATACAAAGTATCACTTTATACGAGAGCAGGTGAAGAACAAAAATGTGGAGCTAATTTACTGCAGAACTGAAGATCAACTAGCAGATATTTTCACAAAACCATTGAGAGCAGATATATTCAACCGACTCAAAGAGAAGCTCGGAATGAAAAATCAAGTTTGAGGGGGAGTGTTAAAAATCAAACTTGAAAAGTCAAGAAAGATGGCTAGAAGTGCAACAATATGACGGCAAGATGACAAAAGCTAGAAGCCTCTTGAATTTCTTAATTATTAAGCATATTAAGGTGGTCCCTTAAAAGGATAAGGTTGCAACAAATATGGTGGCAATAATGGAAAAATTGAGAAGCACCCAGAGCTTCAAAATAAGTCGGTTAATTGATCCTATATATATGTGCTCTAGCCTAGTTTAGGATGTATGTAATACAAGTGAGGAAAATATACGAGAGAAAGTGAGAAAAAATGAGAGATAGGTTGTAAAGCTTAGCAAAGCTTTAAAAGAGTGAGGTTGTGTTTGTAAACTAGTAGCAGCTAGTATTGCAGTATTGTAATATTGAGAGTGTTGTTGTAAAAATATTTTGTTTCGTATAAATAAAAATTTCTGAGTTTTATAAATTATAGTGAGTAGACTTGTTGTCGACATAGATTTTAATCGGTTCTTCTTGCGCCAAATTTAGCTCCTTCAAAATATTCCTTAACCACATTGCTTGGCAAGTGCACGCTGCTGCGGCTATGTATTCTGCTTCACATGTTGAAAGAGCTACCGTTTGTTGCTTCTTTGATAACCATGAAAATGCTGCAGAGCCGATATGAAAGAGATATCCAGTTGTGCTTTTTCGATCGTCTAAGTCTCCCCCATAATCACTATCAGAATAACCAACTAGCTTCGAATTTTCTGAATGCGTGTAGAATAAACCATGACCTGTTGTACCTTTGACATATCTGAGGATTCTTTTTGCTGCAATCCAATGATCTTGTTTTGGATTCTCCATGAATCTGCTTACCAATCCCACAGCGTATGTTATGTCTGGTCGTGTGATAGTCAGATACCTCAGACTTCCAACTATGCTTTTGAACAACGTCGGATTCACTTGCTCTCTTGTTGAATTCACACTTAATTTGACTCCTGGTTCTGCTGGAGTGGCTACCGGCTTGCAATCTTCCATTCTGAATTTTCTTAAAATTTCTTCTGCATACTTCTTTTGTGATATAAATATTCCTTCTTGCATTTGCTTCACTTCAACTCCAAGAAAATATGACATTTCTCCAATATCTGTCATTTCAAATTCTTTAGTCATAGTTTTCTTAAAATCATTGAACATACCTGGATTATTTCCTGTGAAAATCATGTCGTCCACATATAAGCACACGATCATGATATCACCGTCTTCATTTTTCTTTGTGTATAAGGCATGCTCGTATGGACTCTTCATGAACCCATTTCTCTGGAAATATTCATCAATCCTCGTGTTCCATGCTCTCGGGGCTTGCTTCAAACCATATAGAGCTTTCTTCAATCGGTAAACTTTGTCTTCATGTCCCTTTTTAATGTATCCAGGTGGTTGCTCAATATAAACTTCTTCTTCTAGGTAGCCATTTAGAAATGCTGACTTCACATCCATCTGGTAAATTTTCCATCCTTTTTGTGCTGCGACTGCTGTGAGAAGTCTGATGGTCTCGATCCTTGCTACTGGAGCAAATACTTCATCATAGTCAATTCCTTGTCTTTGCTTATAGTCTTTGACAACTAGTCTCGCTTTGTGCTTCTCGACCTTTCCTTCTTTATTGGTTTTTGTCTTGTAAACCCATTTTACTCCAATTGGGTTATGGCCTTCTGGTTGTCTTGTTAGCTCCCAAGTATCATTTCTTTCTATTGATGCAATTTCTTCATCCATTGCATTCCTCCATTTGTCATCTTCAACCGCTTCTTCGTATGTTATTGGATCACTGTTCACAAGCAAGCAGAAAAGTGAAACATTATTTAGTTCATAATCGTTGTACCTTTCTGGCATTCTTCTCTCTCTTGTGGATCTTCGAAGTTCTGTGGGAGGTGCTTCACGATCTTCTATTATGTTGCTGGCATCGCTGCTGCTGCTTGACGACGATGGTAGATTTTGTCGAGGATCTTGATCATCATCTTGTTCATCTTGATTGATAAGATCACCATCTTTATCTTCAAAAAATAGTCCTTCAACTTTCTTTTCCTCTTCGCTCCATCTCCAATAGTCTGCTTCATCGAACTCGACATCTCTTGAAATTATTATCTTCTTTGTAAGAGGATTATATAATCTGTAAGCTTTGCTTCTTTCATCATAGCCAATGAAAATACATTTTTCTCCTCTGTCATCAAGCTTCTTTCTAGTCTGTTCTGGAACGTGGGCATATGCGATGCATCCAAAAATCTTGAGGTGTCCAACTCCTGGTTTTTGTCCACTCCATGCTTCGTTTGGCGTCATATACTTCACGCTTTTTGTTGGACATCGGTTCAATAGGTAAACTGCACATCGAACTGCTTCAGCCCAGAAATTTCTCGGTAGTTGCTTACCTTTTCATGCTTCTCGCCATATCCAGGATTGTGCGGTTCTTCCTTTCTGCAACTCCATTTTGTTGTGGCGTGTATCTTGCTGTCAGCTGATGGATGATACCATGCTCTTTGCAGAATTCTTCAAATAACTTTGATGTATATTCGCCTCCTCTATCTGATCTGAGTATCTTCAAATATTGACCGCTTTGTTTTTCCGACATTGCTTTGAATTCTCTCAATTTTTCCAGCGCTTCTGACTTTTCTTTCAAGATATAAATCCAACATTTTCTACTAAAATCATCAATGAAAGTTAGGTAGTACCTGTTACCGCCAAGCGATGGTATGTCAAAAGGACCGGCTATATCTGTGTGTACTATCTCCAGTGGTCTTCGGGCACGCCAGGATCTACCAACTTCAAAGCTTTGTCTATGTTGCTTCCCTTTGATGCAAGCCTCACATAATTGATTTGGAGGGTTGATCTCTGGTAGTCCTTTCACCATGCTTGTTTTTGACAACATCTTCAATCCAGAAAATCCAAGATGTCCATATCTTAGATGCCATAGCCATGAATCATCTTTGATCGCAGTCTTTATGCACATTACTTCTCCTGACTCGATATCAATTGTAAAGAGACGATTTCGAGTCATATCAGCTTGGGCTATCAATTCTCCTTCTTTATTTTTGATGGCAAGCGAGCGGTTTTTCATCTGCACTTCATATCCTTTTTCCAGGAGTTGACCAAGACTGATGATATTGCTTTTCAAAGAAGGTACATAATAAACATCTGAAATATATTTCTTTTCTCCATTTTTCTGAGTAATCATGACTTTGCCTTTTCCTTTTATTTCTGCGTGCGAGTCATCTCCGAACGTTACTCGTCCATGAACTGTTTCATCTAATTTCACAAACAATTCCCTTTGACCACACATATGGTTGCTAGCACAATTATCAAGATACCAAATATTTTTCTTGAATTCTTCATTTCCTTTATAAGTGAGGAATACGTGAGATTTTTCAATTTTTTCTTCTTCAGCCAAACACAAAATACAACATTCCCAATAATTATATTCCTGTTAATCTTTTATTCCCACTGATAATCTTTTATTCCCACTGGAAATCTTACATTATGTGAATCAAACTCACCCTAAACTGCATTTTGAACTAAACTCATCAGTGTTTCTCAAACCATCGCCGTCCGTCCATCAGTTTATGCCGTTGCGTCGCTCACTGCACGTGACTTCTCTTTCACATTACTCATCTTTTTTTGCAGTCTCCATATTTCTCATACATGTAAGCTTTTTTTTTTTTGAATTTATATTTTCTAGTTACATTGTTTTAAATTTTGCAGTAATATTAGGGTCTAGAAGTGAGACCAAAATTATTAGTTTGTGTTCATCTTACCCATCACTTTGAAGTATTATTTACTTAAAGTGAAGCAATGAGGACATATTAGTTCTTGTACTTACTTTCATCGTTTCCATTTTACTTCTTCAACCGCTTCCTTACAAAAAGAAAAGAAGAAAAATCATGGAGATGGATCCAAGGTTGAGGGGAGCAGCTGAAACAGGAAACATTGATGCCTTGCACGTTCTGATTGGAGATGATCCGTACACCTTGGAACGCATGTCGAGACTCCACTTCATGTTGCGGCAGACAAAGGGCACGTTAGTTTCGCAATGGAGATGATAAACTTGAAGCCTTCGTTTGCCAAGAAGCTGAACCCAAATGGGTTTAGTCCTATGCTCTTGGCGCTGAGAAGTGCGCAGACTAAGCTAGTGCTTCGACTGTTGAAGACAGATAAAGATCTGGTTCGCGTCAAAGGATGGGAAGGGATGACTCCTTTCCATTATGTAGTTACAACCGGGAACTCTAGGCTTTTGATTAACTTTCTTGAAGCTTGCCCCGAGTGCATCGAAGATGTGACGGTTCGAGACGAGACTGCGTTACATCTTGCTTTGAAAGAAGACCAGAACGAAGCTTTTAACCTCCTAATCGGATGGCTTCAAAGGACTCGTAGTACTCACGGTAGTGTCTTTTCCTTTGAGAAAAAAATGGCGAATTGGAAAGACGACCAAGACAACAGCCTGTTGCACATTGCGGCTAAGAAGAAACAACACGAGGCATGAGCAATTCTATTCGTTCCTTCATTTACGTGGCATTCCAAAAATCCCTTTTGATAAACGATTAATGGCTCTTCTGTTTTCCATTAATGATGCATGCAGGCACTCAGACTTGTTGTTAGATTCCCAACTTTGGTTACACGTAAAAGCCAAGGATTCGAAAGGTTTGACGGCTCTAGAAATCATAAAAGATGCTAACAGACGAGGCGTAAGCACCAGCACGAGTGACGAAGTCGACACCAAGATTAAGCGGTTGAAAGTTAGAGTTACGTTCGAAAGAATAAGAGTGCTGGGAGATCGTACTAGGCACAATATGTCGGTGGACATGATCAACACGATGCTGGTGATTATGGCTCTCGTTATAACAGCAATCTACCAATCGTCGTTAAGGCCACCGGGTAGTGTTTGGCAAGACAACGACACCGCCCCGGCCCCGGCCCCATCAAACATCACTCATCACTTGTCCAATAAAAACATTTTCAATACATCTATATCCATCTTCGGTGAAAAATCGGGAAAAGCGGGTAAAACAATCATGAATCCGAACATTTATGATGAATGGATTGTTTTGGTTCTTGAACCTTGCAACCTTCGGGTTCACGGATCTTGCAACCGTGTTCTTCCTCTCCAGTTTTCACCTTTTCCTGCTCCTTGCCGTGCCTCTTTATATGTTGGTCATCTCCTACTTCTGTTCCATGACGATATTAGCGCCAACCCTCACTTGGGTATACTAAACCTTTTCTTCTTACTCCTTTCCGGGGCTTCCTCGCATAAGTAGGGCGTTGGAAAAAAAAAATTCCAGCTCTATCCAAATTATTTCTTGAACTGAGGTGTTTGCTATATTGATCTCATTGGTCGCCAAGTGATCCATAGGTAGTCAAGTGCTCCATTAGTCTCCAAGTACTCCTTGTGACAAAGCCTTTTCTGTTGCAGCAACTCTTCTGTCTTCCCTCGCTGTTGTAGCTCCATAGGTCACCGTGTGCTCCTGGAGACCTATGGAGGTCGCCATGTGCTCCTGGAGACCTATGATGGTCACTGTAGCAATTACCATACTTAAGCAAATAATTGTTCGACTGCACTATGTGAAGAATTTGTTTTCCATTGCATTATTCAAATACTTTTACCCCTTTCGGGATTATTCCCGTTCTTGCTGTTATTGGCGTTGCTTATCTTCAGCAAATCAATTCGGCAGACCATAGCCGAGATCAGGTATCGAACACGGATGCGGGAAGCTCTTGGCATGAACTTTAGAGGACCCTGGACGTTGATGTTTTGTTCGCAATACATACTTGATGGCATTTTTGGTATCTGGATGCCTTCAACTTAGGTGTTCTGCTCTTATGGTATGAATTGATCATGTACGCTTCCTACTGCTCTCTCTTTTTCTTGTATTAGGCATCTGCAATTCTACTTTAATGTTCATTAATTAACTTTTAATTCATGTATTAACATCTTCGCCGTTTATGGCCCGTTTTATTTATTATTTAGAGGCTGATGTAATTACTTGGCCTTTCTTTTTCATTTAAAAGGAATATCAAATATAAATAACTAATTAATATCCTACTAATTTTGAACTTTGTTTTTTATATTAGAGTACCTTTTGAGATTATATCCTCTTACGTGCCACACACTAAGTTGGAGTGTTTCCTATAGTTAAACTTGATTATAAGTTGAAGGAAATATGAAAATGTAAGTAATAAAAAATACAAAGATTTTATTAAAATTTTATGATTTGTAAAAGGTTTTTTAAAATTATATTTTTTAAAAGGTAATTTTATAAGTATAAAATCAAATTATAATTTTTCATTATTTGAATTTTTTTTTTATTTTTAAAATTATAATTTAAAATATTAAAATTTTAGTATCTAAAAAAGTTATTTTAAAATAGTTTAATGACTATGAACTTGATTTGGTGCCATGGTTGGACTTCATTTATTGAGTTTTAATTCGCAATATTCGAATCTTTATCGTGTTTGGTTACAATTTATTCAATTTGGATTTTTATTTATTTATTTGTCAATTCTAATGGAAGATCACTTGTTTTTTTGTTGATTCTCTGTTTATGGCTACAATGAGTTTGAGTTATTCTTCATAGTTTTTGAGCATCAGAACTAACAGATTTAAGAGGGGAACATCCTTTTCTTGGTCCCTAAATTTGAGTTCTAGCTCGTTATTTTGAGGATAAAGAGTGATTAAATCTTGGTATGTGAATTCTTCTTCCTTGTGTTATTTACACCGTGGGGTGTGCCTTACAGTTTTAAGGTTTTGCGAGGAAATTATGGTAAAAAGTTTGCAAATTTCATTGATCAGACAATTGATTTGCTTTATTTGGAGGTTGATGTTAAGTGATTTTTGTTCAATTTATGTTGTTTTATGTGTTAGAAGTTTGCTTGAATTTAAAGTTTTTCCGGGGAAGTTGCCAAGAAAGTTGCAGGTTTTCTTGCAAGAATTCATCTTAATGGTTTTGTTCGATGGTTTCAGGCCAACGTGGCTGAACACTATCGCAGCAGCTAAAAATGCTCGAGAGTATTACAGACATGGTTCTTTTTGCCGCTCAAGTTTATGCTTCCATCAGAAGTGGCTCCTTAGCTATAGTTGCGTCCACATTAGACTCCCTTCTCGATCTCTTGTCCGGCTTCATCCTCTGGTTCACCGCATTCTTAATGTCAACATCGAACTCGTATCAGTATCCGATCGGAAAGAGACGAATGCAGCCTGTGGTCAGTATTCTTTCTGTTCTTGTCATACTTGATTCCTGATTAGGGTATCCGATGTGAGTATTGGAACTAAGAGACTATTCTGTGATTAGGGTATCCTTGTTTTTGCCTCTGTCGTGGCAACTCTTGGACTGCAGATAATCTTGGAGTCCGTTCGGAAAATGGTATCAGATGTGTGTCAACTTCAATTATGCATTAAAGTTTTCTTCTCCAATTGGAATGACGGAAAAATCTTTGTTTGTTTTGCCCAGGAGGATGAATTCAACCTGACAATCGAGCAAGAGAGGTTGGTTGTTGGCATAATGCTCGGAGTGACCTTGGTAAAGCTTCTCGTGTTTTACTACCGTGCATTTACCTACGAAATCGTTAAAGCTTATGCTCGGGATCACTTCTTCAATGTTATGAAGAACATCGTCGGCCTTGTTGCCATGCTACTCGCTAAATACATCGATGACCGGATGGACCCTGTTGGGGCTATCATTGTAAGTAAAAACCTTGTCTTACTTCAGATCATATTCAACTTAAAAACATCAGTGTATGCTCATAATTGTAAGGCTGGATGTTGCAGTTGGCTTTGTACACGATCCGGACATGGTCCATGACGGCATTAGAGAATGTGAACTCACTGGTGGGAAGATCAGCAGGTCCAGAATACCTTCAGAAACTAACCTATCTGTGTTGGAACCACCATAAGGCCATAAAAAACATCGACACTGTCCGAGCTTACTCCTTCGGGTCTCACCATTTCGTCGAAGTCGATATCGTACTCCCGGAGAACATGGCATTGCAAGAAGCTCATGACATTGGAGAATCCTTGCAAGAGAAACTGGAGTTACTGCCTGACATCGAGCGAGCTTTTGTTCATTTGGATTACGAGTTCAGTCACAAACCTGAACATGAACAGGCACATGCTCTGTAGACTTTAGGTGGCCACTGACTTAAAAGAAACAGATCCGTTGAACTAGAAACCGATGGTTTGTCCTGTCTGACTAGTGTGTTAGAACCTATGATTAGTGACACAGATTGAAAATTGGGTAGGAACCATAATGGATGTTTCTACCAACAAATTCTAAAGCATATGAATGGTTGGAGCCCCAGGTTTGGTATAGTTTCATATTACTGACCATTGGTATCTAATAGGTGAATGACATATGCATTAATATTGCAGATATATTATGATCATCCCATTATCATCTGGATGAATAAACACATGCATTAAGTAGTAGAATCATTTATGTTAATAACATTAAAATTGTAATTAATGATATTACAGTCATCTCACCAATATATTACATTTATGTAAGAAGCCTATTATCAGTTCAGTTAAAGAAAGATGATATTTGCAATAAGTTCACCTGCAGTGGCTGCTGCTGGAAATTCGAGCACAGATGGTCCTGTGACTCGAACTCTGTCGAGCTACCGAACTGATAAAATGATGAATCAAGTTACTGATATACAAACATTAGCTTTTCTTGACCCGAACTCAGTCGAGCTAATTTTTTATCTAACACAGTGAAATAATTATAGGGATAGAATCAGAGCTTTAATTCAAGAGGACAAAATATAATTAACAATAGAAATTGAGAAAAATAAAATCAGACTAAACCAAAGTTAGAGTATAGATAATTATGTAATGTATATATATATAATAAATAATTAGGGGACAGTATCCCCTAGAGAGAACATAGCTTCGTCCTTGAGTAATTAGATATGTTGGTGAATCATCTGAAGGTGAATTTGATCATAAAATGAAAATTTTATCTAAATCAAACGAATTTCGAACGAGTTGAGTTTACTCGACTGTGTTAGAGTCATGTTGGTCTGATTTGGGTATCCGCCGGGGACATGTACAGCTCTAAAGTGTGACAATGCCAGTGGAATAGAATACAGAAATACAGATTAAAAAGGCTGTCAAGAGTGGGTTGAGAGAGAACAATTTTAACTTTTTTAAGAATCTTTTTATTGTACATTCATCATAACATTTGTATTCCCACTTGTAAAATTTAATAACTATATATATATATATATATATATATATAGTGGAAAGCGGAGGAAACAAGTGCAAATAGAAAGATGAGCAGTTTATTTAAGATGGATGAGGCATAATCAAAAGAAGATAAAATTCCTTCCAAAACAAAGCCTTCCAAATCTCATATTCCAAATCCTCTCTTAAACCATACAAATCACCAACTTCTCCAACCAAGAAACAAGCAGAGGCGTCGCCGCCTTCAGCTCGGAAAGTGGAGCAACCAGAAAAAGGTAAACAAGACATCAACGGAGTAATTCTTTCAAAACATGATCATCAACGTAAACAGCAACGTCCGATGGAGGACCCTTCTTCAAAAGATCGAAAGTACCAGAACCAGAACCAACCGCCGCCTCCATCTCGGAACGTGGAGCAACCAGAAAAAAATAAACAACTCATCAATGGAGTAATTCCGTCAAAACATGATTATCAACATAAACAGCACCGTTCGATGGAGGACCCTCCTTCAAAAGACCGACAGAACAAGAACCAGCCGCTTCCTACACCTCGGAAGGTGGAGCAAGAAGAAAAAGATAGACAACCTCCTTCAAAACACGATCATAAAGTTAAACAACACCGTCCAATGGAGAACCCTCCTTCAAAAGACCTAAAGAACCAGAACCAAAACCAGCCACCCCCGCCTCCAGCGAGGATGGAGCAACCAGAAAATGATAGACAGCCCTTCAATATTGGAGTAACCCCTTCGAGACACGAATATCTGCCTAAACAGTACCTTCCGATTGAGAATATTCCTTCAATAGAACCGAAGAAGCAGAACCAACCGCCGCCGCAGCACCTTCAAGCTATTCCTGCAGACTATCTTAAACAATCGGACGAACCGCCGGAGCTTCAGCCGACTCCTTCTCCTGATCCGCCTGAGACTGACAAAGGTTGCTGTCCCAAGTGCTGCATCTTCTAAAACACAAAACATCATTATTCAATCATCGTTATTATCTTTAAATGTTTGTTTTATTATTTATCAGTTCTAGTATTCGTAATTCCTTATGCTTTGTGTAGGGTAAATTGTTTATATTTAAAAAGTCTTTTAATTCTTTTGTTTTTATTCAATGAATAGAGAAAAAAAATAACAGACAAAAAAACTTTCATTAATAATTTACTTAAATTCTTATAGGATAACTACACATGTAGTATCTAAACTATCAATTTTGATTTATTTTAATACGTAAACTTTTATTTTTTTTAAAATCATATCTAACGTTTAGTTTTCATTTCATTTTAGTACCCGTCGTTAAAAACTTAATGCGTTTAGTACCTAAACTATAAATTTTGGTCTGTTTTAGTACTTAAACTGAAACAAAAAGTAAAGTTTTTAACGATAGAGTACTAAAATAAAACATAAACTAAACTTTAGGTATGATTTTAAAAAAATTAAAAGTTTAAGTACTAAAACAGACTAAAACTTATAGTTTAGGTACTAAATGCAGAATTTACCCCTTTTAGAGTAAACTATATATTTAGTATCTAAACTATTTTTAGTATTTTTTATGAGCAGACTATGAAAATAAAATTTGAAATTTATTTTATAAAATTAATTTTAATAACCGATACGTAAAATTCTGTTAAAAATATAAAGTTAAGATGGAAAGTTTTTTGTATTAATATATGGTGATTACAAGTGATAATATTTGTTCTACAGATTCTTAATCATTTGACAATGAACGTCTAATATCCTTTAGTGTAGTCGCTAGTTCAAGCATCCGTGATCTCTAAAAATAATAATCATCACTTTAACCACTGAAGTTGTTTAGTTTGTGTAATTAAAATGGAAAGTTTAATTCATGCAACTATGTTAAAAAAATAGGATAAAGTACATAGATAGTCTCTGACTATAAGACATTACTTTATTGAGCCTCTCAACTATTAAAAGTTATGAAATGATCATCCGACTATAGGAAATTGTTTTGTTGATTCTCTCAACTATTTAAAGTTACAAAATAGTCACATAATTATTCATATGTTCCAAACTCGTCCTTTTTCATAAAAAAAAATGATGATAATCTAAGCTGGTCATGAATCTGTTGACTGAGGTATGATAGTCATTTAAGATTTTGGGGTCAGGTTTTATCATATCACAATCAGTAGGTTAACATCCAACTCAAACTACCATAAATAGAAAATGACAAGTTTGAAACATATGAATAGTCGAGTAATCATTTTGTAACTTTTAATAGTCGGAGGACTCATCAAAGCAATACCCTGTAATTAAGAGATTATGTTTTAATTTTTAATAATCGAGAACTCAACAAAACAAAACATCGTTTTATAGTGGGAGGACCATTTGTGTACTCTACCCAAAAACATTGTATAAAGGAAGATGGTATTTTGAGCGTAAGGTGGCTGATGTAGAAACAAGTGACGTAAACAACAAATTAGGCGGGAATCTTGGAAATCCATAAAGCAATGCTTGTAAATATTAATGAACTACATTGTATTCCACAAAACTTAAACTTTATGTAACAATATCATTGCGTATTAGAATAAACTGTCAGCTGCAAACTAATATGAAAGGGAGGAATATTGGAACACCATGATCAAAGCAAAGTTTCTACTTTTAATTTAATTAAATACTCATTAATTTGGATAAAGAATCAGCTACTATTATATTGCATACCTTATATATATAAGGATAGATCGAGAGGGCGTAGCAAGGACGATTACCTCCTCAAAAATTTTAAAGTCGTATATATTTTAGAAATTTTTTGTAGTCTCAGTTGAAAATTTAATTTTTCTCTCTTAAAATTTTATAAGTTCACTTTTTAAAACAAAATTTTACCTTATATATATATATATATATCCAACTATATCTATCGAATTTTAATAAAATTACAAGTGGCTTAAAGGAAACTATATGCTGAATTTGCATTATAGTATGCTGCGTTCTTTCTAAGCTGAGAATCTTATGTTAATTTCAACATTTTAATATATAACATATATGTGCGTGTATATGAAAGAATATGTCGTGTCATGCTATCTTTGATACAGTAAAAAAGTTTTTAAAAAGTATATAGAAAAATCATTGACATGTATTATATAAATAATTGTGTATAAGGTTAATTCTAAAATTAAGTTAATTATTAATTAAGCCACACCACATAATTCGTTATTAAAGATATTAATATTAATTGAATTGGAATAAAGTAAAGTAATTTTTAAGTTTTAACAAAGTTAGACGAAACGAACCTCAATTGAGCTTTAGTTATTAAATTTTATTGTGTTTGATATTAAAACCAAATATGTATTATGGAACTAATGAGAAACAGTACAGACAAGACCTTCCAGTTCCGGGTGAAAGAGATGAACGATTCTACTCAAAGGTCCCCTTCACGTAATAATGCTTATAGTCCACCTTCGGCTAAACCCCTTGGTGGAAGCGCCGGCGAGGATCCTCCGCAAGGTGGCAATAGCTGCCACCGCAATCACTACCACCAGCAGCAAATATCTCCGGTGACGGTTCTTCCCGAGAAAGATAATCGTGGCGACAATCAAAGCAGTCATAAAAACTCCAGCCACCACCACCAACAACAGAAACAAGCATCTCCTCCGGTGGTTCTTCAAGAAAACGACAATCCTGACGATCAAAGCAGTCATAAAAACTCCCACCAGCAGCAACATCGAAGCAGTCCATCGGGGCAGGATTCTCCTCCATCAGGGTTTCATCAAGAAGATCAAAGTTCAATCCAAGAGAGGTCAGTAGTTGAAGATGATCATTTGAATCGTCCGAAGAACCCTGAGATCACACTCACATCATCTGATCCGCCGGTTAACAGCAATCATGATAAACAAACAGCGCCCAAAGGTCATGACCAGAAGACGAGCATAGTCCATAATGATGTGATAGTCATCAATCCACATACTCAGGAGAGACTGTCAATGCCTCCAGGGTACCCAGATAAGTCTGGACCTCCTAAGCTTCCTCCTAAGAAAGGAATATTCCAAAGATGCCTAGAGATAACATTCCCCTGTTGTTTTTAAAAGAAATCGCCGCCCACATTATCGGTTGTTGTTCTCTTCTGTGTCGAATAATAATGTACTTTTTTTCTTCTTTAAAATAACATTTATTCAATGTCTTTAATTAAATAAACCATCTTCCTGTTCTACTTAAAAAAACAACATTTGCTTCTTGTATAGTAATGATCTTTTATACAAAGAATGCTACAAACTAACATAATATACAAATCCAAGACTCGGTAAATGGAATGTGATGGTTTACACAAATGCTCGTATTGTCAAGCAAAACATCATTAGATGTCGGGCTCAAACGGGTGTGAATCCTGTAAAATTTTTATATATTCGATAAATTTTGGTCTAATATTATTTTGATTTATATAAAAATAAATATTCAAATTAAAAGTATAAAAAGTTATTAAATATTTAATTAAGTAAAGGTCGAATTAAAGAAAAATAATCATCCAACATTCTCAAGTTTTTTGGTCTAATAACAATTTAAGTCATTGTAAGTTTGAATATTAGACAAATTAAACATTATTTTCTAAATTTTGAATTTAAATACCAAATAAGTCATTGCATTTTTTTTATTTAGCCCCTGATATTATTTAGTCATAACTCTGTCCCTATCCATGTAGACATGTATGTATAGAGGAAGAATAACGAATCTAGAATCATTGATGAGTATTACTGTAGACAGCCATTTTTATCCAGTTTTAATTGATTATTTATTATTATTATTATTCATATTATTATTAATATGATTATTTATATCTTTTGCAGGCCCAATTACAAAACCCGGAGCCCAAACAATGGCCCAAACCAAATTGCATATGAACTTAGGGGATATGAGTAGTGGGACAACTATTCTCATCAAACTTTTCAAATTGTGGGATTTTGAACTTAGGGGCAAGTATAAGGTCTTAGACCAAACTCACCTCCAAGGCCTCGATCTTGTAAAAATGTTCCTCTCCTTTTACGACCTTCATATGATCTTCCAGTTGTTTTATTTTAGTTTCCATCCTTCTGGACTTGTCCTCTCCATCAAGATCTAGAACTAGTCTTCAGGATTACCGTGGGGATTGGTTACCCCGGCTTGCCCCTTAGTGGTAGAAAAATTTGTCTGATATCCGGGTGTGATTATCAATTTGGGAGGTGGTGCATAATTTCCTCAATAGCTCCTGCCTGAGGCATTAGAGAATTTGACTCCCGTTAGTCTTACCATAAGTTGGTCAACCAAAGAAATCTAGTTTTGGGCGATGGAATCCAAGGTAGTCTTAAGATTATGTCTCAGCTTATTTTCCAAATCCTGTTGTAGCCTAGCAAAGTTATCTTCAAGTTCCTTCATTCTAGCCTCCATCTTCTTTGTTTTGAATAAGGTGTTGTGAGAATGAGTAATGGTATAGGCCAATATCTTTTTTGTTACATAACCTTACGTTTATTATTAATTTATCTTTTTAGTAAATATGCATGCTATGGTGCAGAAATATAAATAAAGTTAATGTAAACAAAATCAATAATTGTAGTTACTTTCATGATAATTTCTGTTATACAGATTTGTCCACTTGAGATTCTTAATAAACCTGTTAAGATGACATGATAAATCTGAAAAAAAAATATTTACTATCTCATTTTCCCCATAATTCCGAAGTATCTTGGATCAAGAAAGGTAGAAAATGACAAATTTATCTTAAGAATGTTAATCGAAAGTAACAATCCGAAATTAAATTGGAATCTGAGAAAAAGTAAAACAAAGAAATTAAATTCTTTAAAATAAAAGAGAATTAAAAAGGAAATAAAAATACTCTTTTATATTTGATCTTGAGATCGGAATCAGTTGAGGCATGTCACTACACAGTTTCTTTAAGATAGATTTTCAGTCACTCCTTAGTGCTTGAGATCTTTTGGTCGTCTGTCTTGCATTGTACAACAACTTGATAATTGACTACAATAGCACAATAGTAGAGATCACGAACTATCATTGCCTCCGACTATCACCGGAAAAACTAAAGGAGAAAAAATATTTTCTAAAATGGAGAGAAAATATTTTTCAAAAGAATAAAACTTCTTAAATTTTGAGATATGAAAAATCTAACATGTTTGTTCAGTAATTATATGGGATATTCAAGAGAGTTTTACTCCAACTAAATCTCTTTTAATATCTAAATTTAAACATATAATAATATCTTTTAAATTTAAATATTAAACAGATATATCCTCCTTTTATTATTCAAATTAAACAAATATTATTTTAATTTGAAATATACAAAATTATATAATTATATTTAATATTCAAAGTTAAAAAATGTAACAAATACCTTTTTAAACTGACATATTCAAAGAATAATTATCCTATTAATATTCAAATTAAATAATATCTTTTAATTTACAATATTTAAAAAAACTCTAAATTTAATATAAATATTAAATTCATCAAAGTAATAAATTTATATGAAGTGAGGATTTTTTTATATGTATTAATAAAAACCCAAAAATAATGTTCAAATTTAGGTTTAATTTTGATTACATTAATGGCGAAACTTATTTGGAAATAAAATTCATGTGTGTGAATAACATAGAAAAAAGATTAATGTGTATATTTTTAGTTGGATGGGATCATTGATGATATGATAAAAAGGGCCCATAAAATAATTTCTCAAGATAAAATAGGTTAAGATGTAATCCATTATACTCTAATACATAAATTAAAAGTTTATTAATGAACTTTGGAGTAGACGATTGCATATGCCTAATATACAAAATCAAACAAAGCAGTAAGAAGCGTACATGATCAATTCACACCATAAAATAACAACACAAAACCTAAGCTGAAGGCAACCAGATACCAAAAATGCCATCAAGTACGTATTGCGAATAAAACATCAACGTCCATGGTCCTAGAGAGCTCATCTGAAGAGCTTTCCTCATCCGTGTTCGCTCCTTGATCTCGGCTATGATTTGCCGAATCGATTTGCTGAAGATAAGCAACCCGAAGAACAGCAAGAAGGGGAATAATCCGAAAAGAACGAAGAAGGAAAGGCTGACGTATGCCCAAGTATAGGTTGGTGCTAAGATTATCATGGAGCAGAAGTAGCAGATGACCATCATGTAAAGCGGGATGGCTAGGAGCAGGAAAATATGAAAACTCGAGAGCAGGAACACGGTTACAAGATCCGTGAACCCGAAAGTTGCGAGGTTCAAGAACCAAAACAACCCATACATCTGCGAATTCATGATTGTTGTACCGGCCTTTTCCGTTTTATTACCAAAGATCCACATTGATGTATTAACAAAGTTTTTATTGGACAAGTGATGAGTGCTTGGGATGTTCGAGGGGGCTGGAGCCGGGGCAGGGGCGGTTTTGTTGTCATCACCATTGTCTTGCCAAATACTACCCGGCGGACTCAACGATGATTGGTAGATTGCAGTTATAACCAGAGCCATAATCACCAGCATCGTGTTGATCATGTCCACCGACATGCTGTGCCTAGTACGATCTGCCAACACTCTTATTCTTTCCAAAGTAACTTTACTTTTCAACTGCTTAATCTTGTCGGCTTCATCACTCGTGTTGTTGCTTTGCTCGTTATGGTCTGGTTTGCCAGTACCATGTAGGATTTCAAGAGCCGTCAAACCATCCGAATCCTTAGCCTTTACGTTCAACCAAAGTTGGGAATCCAACAACAGTTCTAGTGCCTGCAATGCATCATTAATGGAAAACAGAAGAGCCATTAATCGTTTATCAAAAGGGATTTTCGGAACGCAACGTAAATGAACGAATAGAATTGTACATACACATTTTTGTTTGTTCTTAGCCGCAATGTGCAGCAGAGTGTTGCCTTCGTCGTCTTTCCAATTCACCAACTTTTTCTCAAAGGACAAGACACTACCTTGAGTACGACGGGTCCTTTGAAGCCATCCAATTAGGATGCTAAAAGCTTCGAACCGGTCTTCTTTCAAAGCAAGATGAAACGCGGTCTCGTCTCGAACCGTCACATCTTGGATGCATTCGGGGCACGCTTCAAGAAAGTTGACCAAAAGCCCAGAGTTACGGCGGTTCCCCGATGTAACTACATCATGGAAAGGAGTCATCCCTTCCCATCCTTTGACGCGAACCAGATCTTTATCGATCTTCAACAGTCGAAGCACTAGCATAGACTGCGCACTTCTCAGCGCCAGGTGCATGGGACTAAGCCCGTCTCCGTTCAGCTTCCTGGCAAACGAAGGCTTCAAGATCATCATCTCCATCGCAAAACGAATGTCCCCTTTGTCTGCTGCTATATGAAGTGGAGTGTGGACGAAAGGAATCTTGTCGATGTTTTCCAAGATGTATGGATCCTCTTTTATTAGAGCGTGCAAGGCATCAGTGTTTCCTGCTTCGGCTGCTTCCCTCAACCTTGGAGTATACATGTCCATTTTTAGTAAGGAAGCAATTGAACAAGTACAATGGAAATGGTGAAGATAAGTAAAAGAACATCAACTTCATAGCCATCTAAAATGCAACGTAAAGGTCGTTATTTGAAATCCAAAGCTCCATTTGGTAAAGAATTTGTACTAATTGCTGCACTTTAAGTAAACAAAGCCTCAAAGTGATGACAGCAAATTAACTAAGTAGGATGACGTTCACTTGGAAACTTGTCTCTTTTTAATATTCTGATTGGTTTGGTCCTACGGGCTACTTCATAAAAAGTACCTAACTCAGCCCTTAAGAAAAGAACTAAATAGACATCAGTTTTGGTAACGCTTCAACTCATTAAAAACCCAAACTTTAAGACAAGAATGGAATAAATTACCATTTCTTTTCAAAAGCTTCAACGTATTGATGACTTCAATTGCAAAATATTCGAGATTTTAACCAACTGTAGCTTGGTTGAGCTTTATTATTGGAAAAAAAACAATTTGAGTAGTAATGTTTTAAAGATATAATTCAAAAAATTGAAATACCTAATATTATTATAAAGATCAGTGTTAAGATAAATTAAAATTTTAATAAGTATTAATAAGAGTTGGGTGTAACGATAATTTACAATATACTTTTAATGAAAAAGAATACAAATTTGAGTCATAGAACAACACTATTGTTCAATTTTATCAGTTTTTAAAATAGTAAAATAGATGTTGCAGAGCCATGTGAAGGAATCAAACTTGGATTGTAAAGAGTAAAATGTTGGTGCTTCATTTTGAGGAAAGAACTGATTCAAAAATGAAAAGCAAAACCAATCTTGTTACCAAATAAAGAAAGCAATGATTCAGAAACAGCCACAGTTTCAGGGATTTTGTGAAAAAAGCTATTATTACTGTTACCCAAAAGCTCTTTGCCGAAAGCTCTTTCGGTGAATGTAATAATCGACCGTAATCGTTCGTGTAAGTGTTGAGGTCTTGGAGTCGAGGAAGCATTCAAAGCTTCGGCATTGAGTAGAATCCGCGTAACATCTCTCTTTGAAGCCCCGTCTGGGAATTGAAGTTCTTGTATGACATCCAACTGTGTTTTACCACTTGAATTGATCTCGTTCACATTAACTTTGCAATCTAATAACAATTTGATCATATGCTCCATTGATATAAAATATTAAGGAGATATTCGATCAAATATAATAGAGATATCGTATCGTTTTAGAAAGACGAGTAATCCGTAAGATTGTAGTACCTTAGGTTGATTATTGTATGCAGCAACGTGCAGTACAGTGTTGCCATCCTTGTCTTTCCAATTCAATAGCTTTTTCCCGGTAGAGGAGCTGTACAAATAGGTCCGTCGAAGCAATTGCGCGAGGACGCGAAGAGCTTCGAGTTTGTCGTTATTAGCAGCAACATGCAAAGCAGTCTTGTCCCGAATCGTCAAGTCATGTATAGATTCGGAACAAACTACTAAAAATTAGGCCAAAAGATTAAGGTTTCCGTGTTGGACCGCATAATGTAAAGGCGTGCAGCCTTCTCTACCTTTGACTCGAATAAGATCTTTATCCCTGTCCAAGAGACAAAGCAGGGTTCTCTCGTTTTGCAATGCCAAGTGAACCGGGCTATAGCCATCTTTGTTCAGCTTCCTGGCAAATGATGACTTCAAATTCATAACCTCCATCGCGAAATAGACATGCCCCGATGTTACAGCTACGTGTACCGGAGTGTCGACGAACGGAATTTCACTGATTCGGTCTAAAATGTATGGATCCCTCCCGATTACATCGTACAAGCCATCTATATTTCCTGCTTTAGCAGCCTCGTTTAACTTCCTTCTCAAACTCACAGCAAGAGAATTCTAAAATTGATTAAAAGACAGACCTATATATACTAATCCAAAACTTAATATATATTTTTCAATTTTTTATTTCTTTCCAAAACTTAATATGTTATTTGGATTAAGTAGCTGTTTAGTTGACTGACCTTGCTTCTACTCTTGATCTTTGTACCTCTGGATTCGGATATGGTTCTCTAAGGGCTCTTCAATTTCGTGGAAAGATTTTAAAATATTGAGCATATTTGTATTTTATCAAACATCTACTCACATTAGAATTCACATCCGAGTTAGAGTAATGTGGTGCTCCAAGTCCTTTTTTCCTCTCTAAGTTTTGTCCACTCAAATTCCTTGTTTACTTTATGCAGCATTATATCAAGCTGCCACCCGTGGGATTCAGCGTATCTATGGAAAGGTTGATGCTGTTGTCTCATCTTTGAGATGAAGACTCAGCCTTTCAAATCTTATGAGCTGGCTCAGATCTGTACGTAGCAGCTTGTATCTTTGTACTAAACTATTGACTTGTTTTGGGATTTCAATAATAAATGCAGATAAATGCTATAGGGATCTTGGTTTTCCAAAAGTTTCTAAATGAGATTTGATATTTTGATTATCATATATGTTGTGAGATGTAGAATTTTAATTATTCTGTGCATTTATGTTATTCATGATACAGGTACTAGTCCTGTACCTAGAGTCCAACAGGTAAGCTTAATTCTTTTGCATCTATGTTATATCGTGTTCATGCCGAATATGGGTATTGTATATTCGAGTATGTTTCAAATATGGGTATTGGAGATAAAAATGTCAGGCATGCATATTTTAGACATGAATATAGGCTAAACACAAATATTGGATACAAAACGAAGAATCTGAATGATCGTCAAGCGGCTTATTTGTGCACATTAGCTCAATCCATGTGGTGGTGGTGGTGGGGGGGGGGGGAACACAACTATGACCCTTAAATAGAAGATATTTGTTGTGGTTTTCAAACAGTTTCAATGGTTGTTGTCGCCTTGCAGTGGTTTAAATCTAGGACGACAAAATCTTGATCTGAAACCATAGTTGTGATATGGTCATTCATGACAACCATTTTCACATCATTTGCTGCATCCGTTGATGATTGTTTATCCTTGCTCTTACCCCACAAAACTAGATAGAGGCCAGCAACAATTACAACCGCTCCAAGTACCCTATAAAAGGTTGCAACAATTAAGATAACATTCATTACATCCACAGCCATAATAAACATAACCTGAATTAGAAAATTTTCTATGTCAATATTAGAATAAATATAGCGGAGAAGAGGGATTTTGATATGATACCTTCCTAAGTATAGCACCTCAGACAAGATAAAGGAGCTCAAAATTGCAACAATAACCATGCTTAGAGGGTTAAATGCAGTGACAAAAACAGGTCCTCTGGTTTTCATTATTACTCCTTGAACATAATAACCTACTCCGGAACAGACTACTCCCTGCAACCAAACGCAGTAGTTATTATAGTCGGGGATACATTCTATGATGTTATATTAGATGAACTGAGAATTGTCTTACAGCGTAAACTGCAGCTAAGAGTTTAACATCCAAATGAACAGACCAGACCGCAGCATTGCCTGCTTCCATTGCCACTGCTACGATGCTTCCTTCAATGGTGCCCGCCAAGCAGATTAACGCTGTTAGGGAGAGCTCAGCAGGGTATGATTTTAGAGTAATCGCCTATAATACAGAGCATTACACTTTTTGTCAAATTAGAATCAACCCCAACCAGTTGGTCGGTTAATAGAGAAGACAACGAGACAACTTACCTGTAAAATGATGAAACCGGCCCAGCAAAAACAGCCAACAGTGATCATGAGAGCACCTTTAATCGGATCTTGCTCCAGTGACGATGCAGTTGAATGCTCAAGTAAGCTATTTGATTTGGTCCACGGCAACTGCAACATCGGTCCATTAATCAATGTCATCAACATTGCACCCCCAACTGTCACAATCGTGCCTAATATCTTTGCCTGGCTATGTAATCTTCTTATATTAACCTTCTCAAGCCTGCAACAAATTTCCCCCATAGAATCAATCCATTGCCTCACTTCACTTCAACATAACAAACATATATACATAATTCAAAACATTCGAAACCGGCATATACTATAATTTAATTACTTGAAGATCAAGGCAAGCAAAAATGCAAATGCAGGAAGAACATTGGACATGGCGGATGTGAAGGTTGCTGTGGTATACTTCATGCCAGTGTAGTATAAGTTTTGGTCAATTGTTGGCCTGCAGTGCACAACATGATTAATATTTCCCGATTAATAAATTAACCATAGTAAGTAATAAGATTATTGAAAATAAAAAACATTTTTACTTACTCCAGTAAGCCTAGAATCAGTATCTTAATGAATATAGACAGGCTCAATTTTGGCCTAATCTTCCTGTAAAGTAATAATCACTCAAATGGGTGAGCTTAACAAACAACTACAGATATTAAGAGAATAAATAAATAAAAGAAAGAAATCTAGACCTATCCAAAACAATGGCAAAGGGAGCAATGACAAGAGTGGCAATGGCATGCCTGTAGACGACCAGAACATGCTGATTCATGCCTTGGTCCAAAGCGAACTTTGTAATTAAAGACATCCCTGACAACCCAAACTGCAGAAATATTACCGCCAGAAATGGCTTTGATTGATCCACCATTGCAACAAAAGTATTCATAATGTTTTTGTTTTTCTTTAAGAAAGATGTCTCTTTTATCATTAATGGTGAAGAATGAAGCACAATGTGTAGGTTCTTATATACCGAGTGTAAAGTATTTGTTAACCTCCACAAGTCTTTGTATCCAAGTCTGGGGATTCCATTAAAATGAATTGAAACTACCATTGTTTCAAAGTTTTTTTTTTTAAAGACAAAGGAAAACGAAACTCATTGTCACTAAAAAAACGCCATGAAAACCAGCAGTCTTTTTCTACGTAATATTATATAGAACATAAACAGTTGGCTATTGAGACAAGAATAAATCAATTGAAACTCAGTGGGATTTGATTTAGTTAGACGTAACGCTGTCGAGTCCAAACAAAACTTCTACCAGGTTACCACTCATTTGTTCTTATTGTCACTTAAAAGGAGTTGACAACTTCTTCTAAACTACTTGATGAAAGCAAAGTTGATGGAAAAAGCATCAGCATCGTATTTCTTAATTTTTAATTAATATTTTGAGGAAGTATCCCTACAACTTTGGCATCCTAATCAGATTACATTCACAGCTCCATTTTGGCTTTCTTAGAACAATGGGAAGTCAATGCTCCACTAATGTGTTTAGTGAGTATTTAACAAGTTGGTTAATAACTTAATATTGATTTTGACCTATTTCCTATGGATTTATAAACTTTAGCCTATGGAATTCCAATTCAAGTTTAGTTACACATATAAATTAAACAAACATAACTCTTGGCCTCAAATGCTGATTTTGGGTGGTGGAAATTTGTGGCTTTAAATCAAAGTACACTATTGTTGTTCTAAATTTACATATCACTTTGGTCTCAACCTATGAAATTTAATTACATTATTTTTTTATGAAAAAATAAATTGTTAAAATTTTAATGATATGAACATGGCATTTCATCTAATTTTTCACATAAATTTGATAAAAAATATTTTCAAAAATGAGACTTACTTTAACTTTTAATTAATTTAATATGAATATAAAATTAAATATTTAAATATAAAATAACTCAATCAAATTATTTAATTACTTTCTTATAAATATTTAAATTTACAATGATAATTTTAAAATATATAAATAAATCTTAAAAAATAAAAATCATTTTCACTGTCATTTAGTTAATTTAACCAATTATTTCAGTTATATTATGTCAATTTTAACAATAAAATAAGTTCAATTTAATAATATAATCAATTTGTTTAATTTATAAGGATGAGTCTACAATGCATGACACACATCGTTATATGCCACTAATGACATACATACATCGATATGTATCACTAATATTTTAATAGGATACAATTCATAAATAATCATTAAATTATGTTAAAACAAATTTATTTGTCATTAGATTTTTAAAAACTTTTAAAAAAATAGACATTAAACTTTAGATTTTGTTAAAAATGGATAATGAATGTTAAATATTGTTAAAGATGTGACATATCATGCTAAATTAATAAAAAAATATCTTATTTAATCCCTTAATTATAAACTAAAATTTTATTTTGATATAGATTTTTTAAATATTTTAAAATAATAATTCTAAAAAATAGAAAATGTGGCTTTTTTTAAAAAATATGATAATAATTTTTTTTTAATTATTTTAAAACATTATAATTTTATGAATTTTTTTAGTTCATCAAAGACACCCCAACTTAAATAAATAATCAAAATAATTCTTAATATTTTATAATGTATCAAATAATTTATATGATAAAAATTTAATATTTATAATATGATAATAAAAATAATATTTATTTTATTTACATCTGCTTTTGTTTTCAATTCAACGAATTTAATAAAAACTTTTTAACTAAAGTTAATAATAAAATGAAATTTTAGTTAAATTAAAGAGTCAAAAAAATGTTTTTCATTAATTTAGTATATCACATTACTTATTTAATTATAATCAAAGGTATTGCGCTCATTTTGTAATAAAATTTAAAATTTGATTCCTATTATAAAAGTTTTGAAAGTTTAATATATATAAAAAATCATTTTAATATAATTTAATGATCATTTACAATTTTTATTCTATAAAATTAACGATAAATATGATACATGACATTTATCGTAGATCTTTATAACTTTTAATATATAAAATTAAAATGACCAAACCGACCACTAATTTTGCTTAGGGGAGAATCTCAAAACTATGGACTAATTTCCAAGCCTGTGTTTTTTTGGGTTATTGCATCGTCAGGTGGTGGAGCATAATAGTCAACGAAAATGCCTTATTTATTTTGATTTGCTTTTTAATGTTATTTTTTTTCAATAATCCACGTGTTTCCCATTAAATAAAAATAAAGATTGGAAATTAGCAACAGTCTCGTACACTAAAATTTTACTAAGCTTTTTCTTCTTCTTCTAAACTGTAATGCCATAGTAAAACGTGAATGAATTTAGGGATAATACAGGAATTATATGTGAATTTAACTTAAAATATATTTAAATGTTTTATAATTAATTTAATATAAAAATATATTTTATTCTTATCTCCGCTTAAAAATATATTTTGAATATGAATAAAACTTTTTAATTTAAAATAAGAATAAAAATATTTTTCTATTAAATTAATAATACAATATTTAAATATATTTTAAATAATTTATTTTTGAGTGATGATAAAGATAAAATATATATTTTTACATTAAAATAAAAATAAAATATATTTTGTACATTTGTGGTCCATTATATACCAAATTGCTTCTTTGGCTTCGTGGTTTGGCTGCTGATGTTCCACTCAATGGTTAAATCTATTAAATTAAAAATAAATTAAAATAAACTTAGTCTTCCAATTAGAGATTGATGCATGTCGTAATTTAATTAGAGGATTAAATGTATTGACCTTAGTTAAAATTAGGATCAAATTGACATTTTGTGCAAGTAACAATGACCAAGTATAATTATACCAAAAAGTTGACTAAGGTGTCATTCTCTCGGTTAAATTTTAACTATCACGTCACCTCCACGGTTAAAAGTTAACGGCCAGTGGCTTGATTGAACTATTTAAATAGTTGAGTGGTTTATTTGATCAAATTGAAACATCAGTGGTCAAAATGAGTTTTTGACCATAGTTAAGTGGTCACCTGTATATTTTACCCATTAATAAAATACATTTTATTTGATAGTTCAATTGTAATTAAAAAAATATTTTAATAATTTTAATATTTTTAAATAATAATTTAAAATTTTAAAAACAATTTAAAAAAACTCATAATACTTTCAAGTATTTAATTAAAGATTATTATCATTTTTATTATTTTGAATAGTTTAAGGTGATTGTAAGATACTATTATTTCTTTAAGTATGAGATAAATATAAAGTAATATATATTTAAAATGACTTCTATCTATCTTAACAATGAACACTCATACATCTTTACGAAATAAAAATAATCTTTTAATCAATTAAATCAATTGATTTGTAGCAAAGAGTAGGATTATCATTTGCAATTTTTTAGGAGGTTTAATAAAAAAAATAAGTGCTCAAATTTTGTCGTGAAATACGTTTTAGGGTTTAAAGAATTTTTCGTTAAAAGTAGGTACCTAATGTTTTCTCAGTTATACTTTTAGGTGCTTACCGTTTATTTTTTTAAATTTTTTAATAATAAAAATATTATTTTTAAGTAAAAAGGAAAAAAAGTTTAATTTATTTATAAAAAAACCCAATTTTTCATGAAATTATAGAAAATACCCTAAAAAGCTAAAATCTCTCATTTCAACTCCATTGTCAATCGTCGCCAGCTATCTTCGGCCACCATCGTTATCGTCGAACGGTCACCCACCCATCGCCACCCACCCATTGATCAATCTTCGTCTTTTCCGTCACCCAAATCCATAAATCTAAAATCTCCAATATCCAAATTTAAATTTTCTAACCCAAACGGTTGTTGGCCATCTCCGGCCATCATCATCGTCGCCGAAGGGTTGGGTTTTGATCAGAATAGAACGGTGGTTCGAATAGTGGTGGCAATGTGGATTATGGACGTTGAAATCGATCGAATTCGACGACGAACGACGACGGAGGCTTAAAATCCAATGAACCTTTGAACGCTCCTCCATGACAAACGGTGGCATATTATGACAAAAGACCAACAGGGGTTTGATCGAAGACCAACATCGGTAATGACGTCGGTGATGGTGACGATCACCGCTGGTCGGTCGACGGATTGAGGAAGGGGGAAGGGTGTTGGGGGTCTATTTTGGATTTTTTAACAAAAAAATATTATTTTTAATTAAATAAATTCTCAAAAATTTTAGAACACGACACTTTTCATTTAACGAAAAAAATTTAACAGTGGTTAATGTCTGGACACCTAAAAATATAACGTTTGAATCTTTAGATATTATTTTAACGAAAAATACTTTAGGCACTAATATGTATTTCAATGCAAAGTTTGGGTACATATTTTTGTATTAAGCCTTTCTAGGAAGATGGGTCAACTGCTTTATTGTATGTGCTCTCCCAAGAAAACCAAAACACCTTTAACCCATATACATACTCGTATATGAGTCAAAGATATCATATCAGTCGTATGAAATATTTATTATTTGAAAAGTAGTTAAAATTTATTTCTTTAAAATTTTAAAATGTATTTCTTTATTTTAAAACTAATAATAACACAAAATTATAATTTAATATTCAAGTGTCAAAATTTAAATTTAATTCTGATAGTACTTTAGGCAATTTTGTATTGTAATATATCTTAAAACAAAACTGCCAGTAAATTGTCTGATTTGAAAATCATTTCTATCATAAATAATTACAATTTAATAACTAATATTCATAATTAATAATGTCTTTTTGTAAAACCAAACCTTCATAATTTAAACAAAAATACCTTAAACAGACTCGAATTAGAGCAATTATAAACTTCTTTAATATACATGTCACTACCAAATAAATTAACAAACAGAATGTTCTTACTTACTGATTCTGGTGGAAGAACTGATTCCTTAAAATGATGTTGATGCACTCCCTACTTTTCTTTCTAGCTTGCACCTACGTGTAAAACACTCACAAGCTAAGTTTTCGCTTAGTGAGACAATTAAGTAAAATGAAATAAATAAAATATTTAACGTATAAAACAAACATTATCGTATACAAACATTAATAAAATAAAATATGTATAAATCAGTTGTCAACTCGTAACAAGAATTTATTATAAAAATTTGTAATTCGGATTGTATTGTGCCATTACAGATATGTATTTTTTTTATTTCAATTCATATCATTGCAAAATTGTATTTTTTTTAAATATGATCATTTCAAATTAATATTTTTCTTATTCATATAAGACATTTACACACTATATTATCATGAGAATACACGGTACGCCAGTCAGATAACGAGTGAGTGCACTATATACAAATTTACTATCATAACAGATTGCACACAATCACTCAACCTCGTGCACCACTAAGGTACGTCGAGTCAGACCACGAGTGACCCATCTTGGTGTCATATAATGCACATGTAAAGCTAATCAAATGCACCGAATTACTCCACCTCGTGCACCATTAAGATACGTTGAGTCAGACCACGAGTTATCCAAACTAGTGTCATATCATAAACATATTCAGATTTACTCCACCTCATGACATGTCATTGTACCACTAATCCTTATTTTCATACATTGGGCTTTGTTCTAAATCAATTACTAATTTGCATATAAAATCATTCACCTATATAATCGAATAAAAAACTATTTATATAAAACCAAATCTGTGCAATTCATACCCAAAAATATTCACATGCTATGAAATAAAATACCGAATAAAATAATTTGGGTTATTCAAACCAAAATGATATAAAAAACAATTTAGTAAATTAGTATAAAGATATTTCATAAAATAATTCAAATTGTTTCAATCGAAAACTTTCGAGATTTGCTCATCGCAAGTTGTCCTCATATATAATATAAAATAAGTAAGCTGCACTCACCAGCGCCTCACCAGCGCATCCTATGATAACCTTTATAACCCTCGTATCCGGTTCATTTTGATCTCGATTATAATCATGAACTACTTGATCATCGGTTTTCAACATATAAACGATTCACATACATTAGTACTCGTACTGTTATAATAAAATTAATTCGAATCGTAATTCTAAAAGTTCGACTAAGGAATATTCGATACTAATTTCTACTCCAAAATCGAAATCAACCTTAACCAAATTTACTTTTGAATTTCGTTCTTTTTTCTTTTTGCTCGTTTTATTCTCGATTCCAATCACAATCTACTTAAAAATTGATTATCCGACATAAATAATTTCGAACATATGTTAGTATCTAGCTAACTTGTTAAATACGTATCCATATACAATATGATAAAATTCGATAAATAAATATTCTGTACTAATTTCTATAACTAAATCAATTATACTCAACTTTTGCAAAAATAACCTTCCCAATCCTTGAAAATAATAATTCTCAACCTTAAATCACTTAACTTTTCACAATTTAACATTTAACCCACAATTATGCATTTCTTTAAATTAAACACCCATATTTCAAAACTTGTCAAATTGGTCCTTACTATTCACTTTATCCTTAACAATCATCATACTACTCTATTTTCACTATATTTCTAAATTAGTACATTAATCTTGCACTTTTGCAATTTCACCACTAACTTTCCAAAAACTTGCAATTTAATCCCTAGGAATTATTCAAATTCCAAATCAACCCAATTCAACATTTCATTATTCCAACTATAATTTCCAGCATAGAACCTTAATTTTTCAACATTTACTTTACAATCCTCCAATTTCTAAAAACTTGCAAAAAGATCCTCTAAGCTTAACATTGATCCAAAACTTAATTCAAACCTTATGATATCATCCTTCTATCTAATTTAAACCCAAGAGAAATTTTTATACAAATTTTCCGAATTTTTTTTCTCCATGACCGAAAGTTTTGGATACTTTTCTTAATGGTCTCCGACTTTGATTTAAGCTTAGTTTAGTCACCTACAACTATTTTCCATTCATCTCTAATCATTCCTATATAAAAAACAACCAAAAATTAACATTTCTCATAAAACCAAAACCACGATAGTGATTTTCAAACTTCTATCCTACAATTTTATGAGCAATGCATGTTCTTTGTAATAACATCAACAATACCATTATATATATTGTTTAAAATTATATATGATCAAATTTAAAAGTGAAATGAGATAGAAATTTGATTAAGAGAGAATTTTTATTTTGGAATTGGAATGAGAAATTGAATCACGCCTTTCAACATAAAAGGGAGCTTTTTTATAAAGGGCTCTGTCCTTTTTTTACAACATTTTTCTCACTTACTGAAATGACAAAAGCTGAATAATTTACAGTAATTCAAATTTCGAAATGAATGATATTGATGCTTTATCGAAATGCACATATATAAGCAAGCCAGTGTATGTATGAGATTGTGATAACTTGATTCACAGAACATGTAATGAAGCAGCTTCTTTGGAGAGATTGCAATAAGAGGCTTATCATATCCAATTCTGACGCAGTGTTGATACCAAACCATGATGATTGGTGCTCACCTGCGGGAAACGTTCACTTCAGGACCTTGAGGGAGCAGTAGTATAAGCATAGCCCTTTGTTGAAGACTAATCAAGAATTCTTCTTTGAGAATGACATCAACCAAACTTCACCATTGTGCTACAAGCTCACATACATGAACAATGGGCCTCCATATCTTCACCATTAACATCATTCATCAACACTCTTCCTATCAACTTCCCAATCTCTTCTTCCATCTATACACTAATTATACCACCAAGAAAGTCATCAAAACCAATACTTTAATTATAGTAAATAGTAAAATTTTCAATCATTTATACACAATAAACTAATAAAAGAATAATCATTTAAATAATGTTAAACTAACCTTTTCAATTTCTATTAATTACTATGGACCACCTCTTTTGCATTCTACCAGTGAAGTAAATAGGGATCCTACAAAAGATAGTGGACATGGGGGCCTCCTTATTTTGTCAACAAAACACATTTTGAAAGAACCAGGCTCTGGCTCTCCATAATGTCATGTATGTCATGCGTCATTATCATCATTTGTGTGGCCCAGAACATACAAAAGCCAGACGGACAAGGATAAAGACTCAAGTTGAATCCCGACAAACAAATTTTCTGACATCTCTAGCCTTGGCGGTGGCAGTGGCACGCCCTACAAAAATGTGTTCAAGGCAAGTTGATACCAGCTCATGACACAATAAGTATTTAAGCCAAGTTGATACCAACATATATTATACTATTATTCACGTTCGTTTTGCGTGCAACATACCTGACATCGAATACCCAAACTATAAAAAAAAACCTTACTAATAGATATAAAATATTTACTTAATTAAGCCTCTAATTTTAATTTATTTAAATATTACCCTCATTTTTATAACTATTTATGTTATCTCTTTAAATTTATTTTCTAATACCGTCCATGTATGTATAATACAAAAGTCAAGTGGCATTAGTTATATGTCCTAGAAAATCAAATGCTATATGTGTTTAAATTACACATTCATTTGTTGTGTCCTTTCCCGGAAGATTCGGAGTCAGACCCTTACTATGTTTTAGCAGGTAAGTAATATCTGCTTGCAAAATTCAAGCCAAACCCCATGTATGTGTACATCCAAACTGCTTTAATTTTGGACACCCCTGCAACTTCGAAGAAAAGATGGGAAAGAAAAACAAGATGAAGAAGAAGAATCCAAAGCCAAAACAGGACCAAGATGGCAATCACAGTAATGCTGCAATGGAACATCAGTTAGTATTTTCTCTTTAGTGTTAATCAATTTTGTTTTTATATATGATCAAACCAATTTTAATTTTTTCGAATCAATGATTCCCTTTCAGTTCTTGATACAACGAATGTAGATATTGGGGTTCTAAGTTTTAGTCTGCTAGGTAATAACTGTTGGAAGCACATGCATGAACCAACTGAGCATGGTAGATTAAACAAGAACATTGAAACTAAAGATATCATCAGTTGTTTAATAAATCTGGGTTTTCCCCCTTTCCAACAGGAACATTGAGCCTGAAGATGTCATCAGTTGTTTCCCTGATGAAATCATTTTCCAAATCGTTAGCTTCCTCCCTTTTGAATCTGCTGTCCGCACCACTTTCCTTTCGAGACGATGGAATGGCCTTTGGAGGCGAACTTTGGTGCTTGAAAGAGCCCTGGAAGATGCTGTTGTTACTATATTCAATCTTCTTTATGATTTCGCCGAACCCAATCGACCAACAAACAAATGGGGATTACAATTCAACCTTGGCCAAGGTACACTCCTCTTTGTTTCCATTACACCTAATAGAACGCTCCATCTTGATTTCACCGCCGGTGAACAAGAATCCTCAGCTACATTTGATTGGTGTCTGCCATTGAGTCTTCCGTGGCGTTGCGAGTGGCCATCGCCCTATAATCAAGACAAGAAGATAATGGAGTTGAATCCCCCTTTGCCCTTTTCACAACAGTTCAGAATAAAAACCCTTTATCTAATATCAGTAAGCCAACTCTCTAGCAAAGCACTTACTTGTTTGGCGTCCAATCTCCCATTTCTCGAGAGCTTGATCGTTGAAAGGTGTAATGGAGTTCAATCTTTAGTTGTAGAAGATGCCGGTGTTCTTCAAAAGCTAATTGTCTTGGATTGCCCCCGATTACAATCTCTCAGTTTTCAGGGTCCCCGTTTACAGTGTTTCCGATACAGAGGCAACTTAGTGTCCTTTCATTTGAAAGCATGTTGCAGATGCTATTATGCCGACGTATATTCCATGTGTGATTGCGGATTATACCTAGAAGACGCCATGGTTGATCTCAGACAAGGTCCTCTAACACAATGGACTTGGGACTTTGAAACAACCATTCGTCCTCATCAGGCTTCCTACGGAAACTACCGCTGCGGCTGTGCCGGCGAGCATAAATGCTTCAAATCGTTTTTGAGAAGCATAAATGGTGTTAAGTCTTTAACAATATGCAGATGGTTTTTCGAGGTATGTATAGTGAAAGAAATGTTCATTTTGTTTTTAAAGAGGGGTTTTACTCTCCCTCTGCTAAATTGTGCTTTCGTTTTCCTTTAGCAAACATTGTGCGAGAATTTATACAGTTCAAGTGGAGGACCTGAATTTTATTTCAAAAGACTAAAAGAGCTGTGGTGGATTGATTGTTCAATGGCCAGGCACAATATCAATGCCTTACTTTGCTTCCTCAGGCTTTGTCCTAACTTGGAAAGACTTTGTGTCACTGTAAGTCTTCCCGTTTCCTTGATCATATAAATTGGCATCTTTTATTCTTTTATAACACTAAGCAATTATGTTATCCAGCCACGGATATGCATCTGATTTGGAGTCAAATACATATACTATAGGAAGGATAAAGAGTAAGTAGAGAGGTTGCAAGAAAAAAAATAATTTGAATGATTGATCAAAACTTGCAGATTGATCCCAAATGCTATGACTTTAGTAGTGGAACCGAGAAATTCTCTGCCATAGTCAGTGCTCCTGCAAATCTCAATGGTCTAAAGGTTGTGAAACTAGAAGGATTTGCAGATAAGCAAATGGAGTTTTTAATGGCAAGGCGATTGATACCTTTATTCCGAGAAACTACTCCGGTAATCATATCGGAATCACACAGGAAATGTTTGAAGCATTTGGTAAAAGTAGCCAAGTTGGAGAAGAAAGGGAAGTATCCGTACAAGTTCAAAATGGTTGAAAATCTTGATGATAGATTTCCAAATCATCTTCATATGAACCTTTAATTTAATTATGATTCAATAAGGTTCCATTTATATGTTATTTAAGCTTTTTTCTGGGAAAATGTCATGCCAGGATACCTCTTTCGAGAGGTAGTTTCTTAAATGATGTCATATATATGTGGAGGATATGCTAATCAATATTATTTTCTTTTAAATATTATCAAATGTTATCAAATTCAATTGCTTACAATTCTATATATATGTGTTTATATAAATGTCCTTTCTCAAAAGCTTTACAATACCAAAATTGCAATTGCTGACAAGGTACACTCTTTAGACATACAACACAGTGTAGGCTGCCGGTCTGAAATACTACTTGTATCTGTTGGTTGACATGTCTATGCTTGGATTATATGCTCTAACATAAGATGTAATGTTTGATATTTAGAAGAATTCGAATAAAAATATCAAACGAAAACTGAGGAAGAGAATCAGAGTCATGATCCAGTTGATGACTATAACCCTACAAACACTTCACGTTTAAGGTAACAACTGCTGATTACTATGTTTTCTTTTAATATTCTTTCAGTATTTTTTATATCATTCTTGTTTTGTATTTGATCTCAGGCATTCGGATATCAGTAGTTTAAAAGATGATGTTTTATGCCAAATTGTTCCCCGGTTCATCTACAAATGGAAGAAGCATGATCAATAGAAGAAAGACTCAGCTAAGTAAGAATCTGTTTATATTTTTACTTTGGGATTTTATTATTTGTTATGATCAAACAAGTTTTGATATTTTTTTTGTTTTTATTTGGAACAGTTATAATATGGGCCCCAATGATTTCATCAGTAGTTTACTAGACGATGTACTTCGCCTCATCATTTCATTACTTCCTTTTGAATCTGCATTCTGAACTTGTTTTCTTTCAACTCACTGGAAACAACTCTGGAGAGAGGCTTTGTTGGATTCAGTCCATGATGTAACCGTGGAAGCTGCCATTAAGCCATACAAATCTTTCTTAATGGTTTTGATGTCCACCATTGACCAAGAAATAAGTGGGGTTTCATGTTTGAATTCAGCCATGGATTGCTACCATTTCCTACAATGGTTCACTTTAACTTGATTTCTCAGCTGGTCAACAAGAATTCCCAAGGCCATTTGATTTGCTTTTGGAGCTGAATCTTGCATCGGGTAGTTTATACATCGCATTGAAATGATTTTGATTGGTGGTGGCTTGAGGGAAATTACTTGCAAACCCGACAACCACCTTTAAACACAATGAAAGTAAAATCTTTGAATCTCATATCAGTGAGCCACCTTTCTAATATGGAAGTTGCTTCTTTGGTTCCAAATTTGCCATTTCTCAAAAGCTTGACAATCGCCAAATGCAATGCTTACAATCTTTAGGGAGTCATCCTCGATTGCCCCAATATACAATCTCCCAGTTTCAAAGGTTACTGTCTAATATCTTTAAGATATAGAGGCAAATTAGTTTCCTTTTGGTTTAGATTCTCCTGAGAATTTAATGCTTTGAATCCACTCGTGATAGACGCCATGGTTGATCTCAGACAAGGTCCTCTAACACAATGGGCATGGAACATTGAGGTTGACCAACATTGCAGCTGCAACAAATATAAATGCTTCAGCTCGTTTTTTAGAAGCATTAAATGTCTAACAATATGCAGATGGTTTTACGAGGTAAGTTCATTAATTCATATACCGACTCTCAGTAATATTTCAACTAGTGTACAAGAATCGGATATTGGTACGTGTTCTATATGTTCGTTAGTTCATCCACTGACCTTTCACAACTCAATCTTCATCTACTAACCTTTCACAACTCAATCCTCAATCCATTTTGTTCTGAATTGTTTAGATATGGATGTGCAAGTCGTTACCCTTTTCAAGTAGAAACCCTCAATATTGTTTGAGCATGAAAGAGAGCTTTGGTGAATTGATTGTTCAATGGAAAGAGAATCTATCAATTCGTTACTTTGCTTTCTGAAGCATTGTCCTTGCTTGGACAGACTTTTTGTGACTGTAAGTCGTTCTGTTTTCTCGATGTTACTTCGCATATTTATTGGTATAAATAGCAGATTTGAACAAGTGTCGGATACTATAGATGTTGTGTAGGAAGATCCTAAATACAATGATTAATGCTCAAATTTACACTTGAAATATCTTAGTAATTGTTGCCTTGTCAAACGTGCAGACTGATCCTAAATGCTATAAGTTGCCCTGCACTTGAATATTCTTGGCTTTATACATTGTTTCTGACGAACTCTATGATCCCAGATTTGATCTGTGAAACTATAAGTTATGCATCAAATCAAATATTTGATGAATTAAACATATAATATTACGATAAAATTATATGCAATGATTTTCCGCTCATTTTCTCTTACTTCCAAGGAACAAAACATATGATATTACAATAAAATTATGCATCAAATCAGAATATTTGATGAGGAGTTAACATTTAGTATGTTAACATGTTGCGTTGGCCGAAAAGGCGGGTGAAAGGAAAAAGTGCATCAGAGTAACAGCAAAAACTCTTAACAGAAGTGTTTGAAGCTCCTCACAAGATTTTATTTGAGAAAATTAGATAACTATTGCAAGTTTGGTTCTTCAAGGGAAAATGACACTTCAGATAATGGCATTGCATTTGATCGGTTTGGGTTGAATTGCCTTTTGCACAAGCTTGGTTTGTTCCTTCACGTGAACGTAATAGAAACCATTAACAGTTGAAGCAGACAGAGCACGACCGACTTATCTGATATCCCTAAAAGTTCCTCTACCCAGAGAAGTCATTGCAGTTGCAAGCCTAGGTGCGATGTAACTAAATGCACCCATGTTCATTGGTTCTTCTTGGCACCATACAATCTCTGCGTCTGAGGGAATCCCAAAAGGTAAAAATCCAAAACGATGTCTCAATATCAAAAAGGAATAGAGGCTTTATAATACACAATGAATTACCAAACCTAACTGCACAAAACTCGCCATAGCTAGTACATCCAGTTTGACAAATGGGGAGAGAGATGGGAGGTTTGAAAACAAATAAAAGTACTACAGATCAAGTCCGAGTTTAAGTTCCGAGTACATACTTGGATATCTTTTAAGCTCTCGCTGGACGAGGTTATAAGGGAATGGGCAAAGCTGCTCCACACGGCATGTAGCAACGTCTGAAGCATTGTTCTTCTTCCATTCATCGTCAAGCTCATAGTAAACCTGAAAGCATATAGAATACCGATTATTGTATAAAAAAACAACACAAATTATCAAAACCTATATGGAATATGCAGCACATATTTATCATTGGTCGGGTCGGAAAACTAAGCTAGAAGCCCAACAAGATAACAAAGTTCACAAACTCCTTCATGTCTGGTCAATTATACCAGAGAAAATTCCATAAGTAAACTGCTCATAGAAGAGGAAAACATGGAGAAACCGAGGGCATAACAAACCTTTCCAGAACAAAGTACCAAGCCTCTGATGCCCTCCTCAAGGTCAGATTGCATATTCTGATCCTTAATGAGGCGCTTAAATTGGGTCCCTTGCTTATCAAAACCAGGATGGCCTTGAACATCATCAAATTCAGAAAGATTTGATCTGCAGTCCTTGTGACGAAACAAGTTTTTTGGGGCCATGACAATAAGTGGTTTACGGAATTCCCTGTGTATCTGAGAGAGAGAGAGAGAGAAGAAACGATAAGAAAAGGAAAATGGCAAGACCTTCAATGTTGAAACATCGTTAAGAACTATTAGTTGCACTCACCTGTCGCCGCAAAACATGGAAGTAATTAGCAGACGTTGTAACATTAACCACCTGCCAGTTGCACTCCTGAATTTGCTTACGAAGAGTTGCATCCATCTCAGGTCTCACAAAAGGATGGTCATCACTCATCTACAAAAATATTATAACAATCTAGTTATCGATGCAAAATAGTATTTTTCTCCCTAGCTTTTCATGTATACAATTACAACGACATGCTTGGAAGTGTAACACGAATGTGAATACAGGTATCACTCATCTACAATAATGCGTGTTGTTTCATGGGGAATACCTGTAGCAAACGCTCTAGACGTGCACTCAAATACTCAGGACCATGTCCATCATAACCATGAGGAAGCAGCACAATCAGACTAGATTGACGCATCTACTTTGCCTATCAACTACTCACAAATTGATCAAAGATCACTTGAGCACCATTAGCGAAGTCACCAAACTGAGCTTCCCACATAACTAAGGAATTTGGGTTTTCCATCGAGTAACCCAATTCAAATCCAAGCACACCAAACTCAGAAAGTGAACTGCGCTCAAGATCACATGTTGCTCAAAATAGATTCTAAATATTAACAAGAGTAAGAAGGGCAAACAATGCACAAAATTATCATGCACAATCTAACAATTCTCAAGTGGGAACATAACTCAACACAAGAAGCAAGGATATTTCACCTAATGAAAAAAATGCATGAATTCACAAATGAAAGATAGGGTAAAATTGTACAAGTTATTCCATGTCAAGTATGGCATGGAAAGCATGTTCCAACTATGGATTCAATAAAGTGGAAACGCTCTAGTCGTACAAGTTACGCCTTGATGCAGAACCCAATTAAAATTTAATTGTATTGCTTACATGGATGATAGAAAATTTTCGCATAAGAATGTACACTACTGGACTAAAATTTTAGCTATTACAAAGAAGCACAAATAGTTTACCTATTGCTGACAGTAAACATCTCCGCGTTTTGGTTGATGGTAACACGATCCAGAGGACAGTACTGTTCCCCGGTTTCCTGGTCATGAATGACAGAATGCCGATGACTAAACGTACCCCTTTCGACATCCTGACCAGTCAGCCTAACATGGTTACCCTCCACCACCAAAGTAGCGAAAGCAAGTGCTTCACCCATAGCCCAGTCAAAGCCCTCCCGTCTCAATCATCTGTGCACATTGTTCGTAAACCTTCTTTACTGCTTTATGAGGCTTAAAATTATCTGGAAGTGTTGTGATTGCTTTGCCAACATTCTTCAATATCTCAGGTTTAACCCTGCAAAACATGAAAGTTTCATCAGTGGGTACAGATCAGGGTTACCCAAAAAGAAAGTTGAAATTCAATAATAAACCAACAAACCCAGTGTTTCGGACACGAGAAAGCTGTTCAGGTGACTTGAATCCTGTCCAATAAGCTGAGAGCCAGTCCCTTCTTTTGGGAAGGTAATCTTTGCTGGCCAAAAATTCTTCATTAAGAATTGAACCAACCTTCTGACTTATACTACCAATGTCTTCCTCTGTCACCTGCCCGGTCTCTAACAATTTGTTCTGGTATATCTGAAGAGCTGAGGGGTGATTCCGAAAGATCTGTTAGAAGAAAAAAGAATAAAATATGTGAAGTTTGAAACATTCCTCAAGAGCAAATAGAACCACAAAAAAGGGGGCAGGAAAAACTGCAAGGGGAAAAAACATAACCAAAAAGACTAGAAGCAGACCTTATACATTTTTGGCTGTGTGAATGATGGCACATCAATCTCATTATGCCCAAATCTACGATAGAAGATCAAATCAACCACCACATCCGAATGGAAGGTTTGTTCCACTCTCCTGCAAGTTCACATTTCTGGACAACTGCCTCAACATCATCTCCATTTACATGGAAAATTGGAGCATTCAAGGCTTTAGCAACATCAGTACAATACTGTGAAGATCTGCCTTCCCTTGGATCAGTTGTAAATTTCATTTGGTTGTTGACAACAATATCTATAGTCCCACCAGTAGTGTAATTTATAAGTGCACTTAGATGAAGAGTTTCATAGACTACACCCTGTCCAGCAAAGCTACCATCCCCATGAATCAAAACAGCCATGTTCTTGGTCCTATCCACATTATTGGAGTAATACTGCTTCGCTCTAGTTTTTCCAACACCAACCGGGTCCACAACTTCCAAGTGACTTGGGTTTGCAACTAAAGACAAATGGATTCTCTTTCCACCTCTCGTTGGCCGATCATAAGTTCCCAAGTGATATTTGACATCACCAGTTCCAGTGTAAAGCCCAACCTCATCCACATGCTTTGTACCACCACTGAACTCACTAAATATCTGACGAAGTGGCTTTCGGACAACATTACCTAGGACATTGAGTCTTCCTCTATGAGGCATTCCAATAACTATACTCTCAACCCTAAGGTCAGCAGCCCTGTCAAACATTTCTGTCATTCCAGGAATTAAAGTCTCACCACCCTCTAGACCAAACCTCTTAGCAGTTGTCCACTTAGTGGCCAAGAAATTTTCAAACCGTGTACTCCATATAAGCCTATCGAGAATGACTCACGTCGCTGGCGATTGTACTGAATAGGTGTCGGGGTTTCAATCTTGTCTCTCAACCCATTGCACTTCTCCCGGTCAGCGATGTGCATGTACTTGAACCCAATGCTTCCACAGTAAGCCTGTTCAAGTCGAATCAAAATTGATCTTAGTGTTTTGCACTGGTCGGTTTTCTGATAAAAACCCAGACATCCTCCAAACACCTAAAAAGAATTCTCTGTCAAGTTCAGTTTCAGTAAAACCATAAAGAGCTGGATCCAAATCATAAGGGATTTCTCTTTCCTCTAAACCCAAGGGATCCAACTTTGCTTTCATGTGACCATTAACCTGGTAAGCCCTCACAAGCAATAACAGCCGCATACTCTCCTGG